ATGCTGCTTTTGTGGGGGTGGGTAGGGGTGTTAAATAATTATTTTTGTTTTGTTTTCCACCATAGGTTTTTAACATTCTAAAAGTTCTTTATTCCAAAGATACTACAAGCTAGTCAGTGTATTCAGCAGGTGTAATGTATTCTATGTTGCTTCAGAAGTATTACATACAACAATAAAACAGTGCATTGACATAAAAAAGGAAATTTACTTTTGGTACTTAAGTACTTTTAAAAGCAAGTACTTCTGTACTTTTACTTAAGTAAAAATCTATCTTTACAACTTTTACTTGTAATGGAGTAATATTTGACCAGCAGTATCTGTACTTTCACTCAAGTAATGGAGTTGTGTACTTTGTCCGCCTCTGCTTAGGACTATACATTATTTGGATAATTAGTCAAAACAACAACAACAACTTATGTCTGATTCTGTTACATAAAAGTGAATAAAAGTATAGTTTTCTTCTAGTCTTCTGATGACCGAGGGGAACGCGATCGCGATTTCTACCGAGGGCATGTGCACAGTCTTGCAGACTTACAATGGCCGCCCAGTGCACATGTGTAAAGTCCACAAGACCATAGGGTGTTCCATTCATCATTTTAGCTTTCAGAAGTGTACTTGCTATGCACCCTCAAAGCACATTTTTGCCAAGCCTGCACTGATGTGAGCTACACAGAAGACTTCTATCCAACAGTCAACATGGCATCATGCCACGAAAGTGTGGACTCCATGAGGAAGGCCATGAGGGTTTAGGGTGCGATTTGGGACAGGGCCTGTATAGGCTACAGTACACTTGAATTATTTATTTTTTCTTATTGAGTAATCAAATATAACTTTACAATCAGAATCAGAATTATAAAGGGCTTTATTGCCAAGTGTGTTTACACGCACAAGGAATTTGTCTTGGTGACGGTGCAAGGAAAAAGTACAGACATAGTGCAGACATACACGTAATGCAAAGTAATAACATGAAATATAACACTAATGATAAAGAGAATAGACAATAAAAAATATATATGGCAATAAAAATATAGAGAAAAATACCAAAAAAAAAACAGATTTATGACTATGCAAATGTGCCATTTATAGATTAACAGTTTTGAGAAGTTATGTACAGATGTGCAGTCCCGAGATGTTATGTGTTGTTCTGGTGGAATATGGCCTGAGGGAAAAAACTGTTCTTGTGCCTGGCTGTTTTGGTGGTCAGTGCTCTGTAGCTATAGTCAGGGTCCTATATGTGAGTTTTCCCAGCCTCACTAGCTGATGCCTGTCTGTCAAGAAGCTGGTAATCCACTGACAGATTTGGGAGGGCACTGAGAGCTGGGTCAGTTTGTCTGAGAGAAGATCAGGCACAATGGTATTGAAGGCCGAGCTGAAGTCCACCAATAAGATCATTGCGTAATTCCCAGGTCTGTCGAGGTGTTGCAAGATGTAATGCAGTCCCATGTTGACATCAATGGTCCAGTGATGTTCTTCAGGTAGGCAAAGACCAGTCTCTCAAATAACGTTTTAGTCACTAGTCACTCAGTATTAATCACAACAGCTTTCATAAATGTTATCATCAGATTTGTCTACCACACTTTTATTTTCTATAACATTCACATTGACATAGTCCTCTTCAGAATGATCAGAGTCCACATTAATATAGTCCTCCTCAGAATCATCATGATCCATGTTTTCACCAAGTTCTACATTTTCATAATCATCCTCATCATCTTCATTTTTGTTATCATGGGATGCACCTGCATATGTATTAGCTGCACCTACAGACATTGCATAGAGAGGGACAATTACAGGAAAATGATGAAGAAAAAAAGTGACTTAGGATGAAAGAGTTCAAAATAAAATAGAAGACATCATCTGACTTCTTTAATAAAACTCAAGTCTGTTACCTTTTGGAAAAGAGCACTTTGAATGAGTTTCAAATAAGTCTTGCTGTTTTGCTTTTTTGTTAAAGCAGTGTTGCTGTTGTAAAGTTTTACATCTACAGTTGTGTTGCTGGGTTTTAAAGCAGGTTTGATTTTTCTTTCTTTCTTATCACTCTGTATTTACAGGATTTCACTGTCGACTCTGTTCAAATGTGGATGAATGGCTACACATAGATGTGTCCAGAGCTGTGTGAGATCACTACCATGCTGCTTTTGTGGGGGTGGGTAGGGGTGTTAAATAATTATTTTTGTTTTGTTTTCCACCATAGGTTTTTAACATTCTAAAAGTTCTTTATTCCAAAGATACTACAAGCTAGTCAGTGTATTCAGCAGGTGTAATGTATTCTATGTTGCTTCAGAAGTATTACATACAACAATAAAACAGTGCATTGACATAAAAAAGGAAATTTACTTTTGGTACTTAAGTACTTTTAAAAGCAAGTACTTCTGTACTTTTACTTAAGTAAAAATCTATCTTTACAACTTTTACTTGTAATGGAGTAATATTTGACCAGCAGTATCTGTACTTTCACTCAAGTAATGGAGTTGTGTACTTTGTCCGCCTCTGCTTAGGACTATACATTATTTGGATAATTAGTCAAAACAACAACAACAACTTATGTCTGATTCTGTTACATAAAAGTGAATAAAAGTATAGTTTTCTTCTAGTCTTCTGATGACCGAGGGGAACGCGATCGCGATTTCTACCGAGGGCATGTGCACAGTCTTGCAGACTTACAATGGCCGCCCAGTGCACATGTGTAAAGTCCACAAGACCATAGGGTGTTCCATTCATCATTTTAGCTTTCAGAAGTGTACTTGCTATGCACCCTCAAAGCACATTTTTGCCAAGCCTGCACTGATGTGAGCTACACAGAAGACTTCTATCCAACAGTCAACATGGCATCATGCCACGAAAGTGTGGACTCCATGAGGAAGGCCATGAGGGTTTAGGGTGCGATTTGGGACAGGGCCTGTATAGGCTACAGTACACTTGAATTATTTATTTCTTCTTATAGAGTAATCAAATATAAC